AAAAAAAAAAAAAAAGAGAGAGAGAGAGAGCTCGAGACACATGAAATCAAAAGTCCCTACACAATTCCCAAGAGAACCATCTAATAAAGCAACTACAATATATAAGAACAACAACATGAGTTTAAGGTTGAAGCAAAAGTCTGCAATATCAAAATTGAAGTCCTCCTTCATAACAGCTTTTTGATTAATACTACTATAAAAGTTTCTGCTCTGCGGATTCAGTCTGCTTCAATATACATGAAATAAGCAGAGATCTGCAATAACTACAGCAAAGGTTTTCCCTGCAGGGTTCAGTGTACTAGCTGGACTCTCATACTGTAGCAGGAGAACACATGAACAATGAATGAAATTATTAAAACTCCACCACAAGGCTTCTCTTGGAAGCAAAGTAGCATACCAAGAGTTGGAGTCCATACTATAATACACACATATGAGGTGGGGGGCTGTTACATACTTACAAACTTTCCCTTTACAACCCTAACACTTTTAATGCGTGAAATAAAAACTTTAACAATAGTTAATAGCGTCAAGAGCTTGACTCTTCAACAATCCCTTCAATTTGTGCTAAAAAAATAGAGAGCAGAAGTGAGCTAACCACACGCCATGTAATTTGGTAGAACTGAGAAGCACATGAAAACACACAAAAATAATCTTAATTATTCATTTATCTGCAATTTGCAAATATTCATTTATCTACAATCTGTTTCTACTACTAGCATGGTACCTAGACTAAAATTAATTTATGTCAATAAAACTAAGTCTTACCTGCAATCAACATTCTCACCTGTCAACTAATATTTTGGAAATTGGGGAAAATACCCACACATTTTCTCTGTAATTAGGAGATTTGATTTTACGTCTCAGGAATGAATGAACAGGTTAGAAACTCTAATGTAAATGTGTTGTTAAATATAAGAATAAAATAAATATTTAGACCTCAAATGTGCTGTAAGGAAAACAACCTATTTTGTGCCAAGATCTGTGATCTAAACGTAACTCGTCAGCTCCCTTTTGGAAACTGGGGAAAGGGTGAAGCAGATGAAAACAGGGGGAGAGCAAAATAAACTATAAGGAAAAAAAAAAACTTCACAAATTGTAAAGCAGAATTACAATCTCTACTTTCTTGTATGCCAATAGAAAAGTCTTATTCTGAAGAATGAAAACTTTGAAGGATCATCTCCAAAGTTAACATCAAAACACAATAACAAGTAGTACCATGGTCAACTTCAGTAACATGAACAGTCTTTTTCCCATCATTTTTATTCTCAATCCTATTTGCACATCTCTCACTTGCTAAATCTGCACCATAATATTCAACATTTATGGCTGTGGACCACAGTAAAGACAGCTATAATAGACAGCTTTCAGTACAGAGGGTGGATCTAACAGCAGCCTTTAAGACATGACTGTTACCAGTTATCTGCCTTTTTCCTTTATCTGTTGTTCTCACCATGGCAGAAGGGAATATGCACCCACACCGGCAGTTTCCTGTCTTGAGCATCATCTTTAAACGTCAGAGAAGATCGGCTGTGTTAACCTACCAGGCTGAACAAGTCCTCTTAGAGCCAAGCAAATGCTTCTGCTACCCCTACTATGGGAGCAAGGCAGATGGCCAGGAGCTGTGATGCCTTAAACTGCTGGAGCTAGATCAGCCAAAACTCACCTTACAGAGTCCTCACGCTGAGGGCTCCAAGATTAAACAAAATAACTCAGGGAGGACCAGTTTTCTCTCTTGAGCTTCTGTAACTAACCAGGCTCAAAACGCTGGGCATCTTCATCATCCAAAAGGTCAACTTCTAAGTTTTTTGAGAACATATAAATAATCGCGTCACAACTTGACACATTCCCTCTAAATACAAAGATCTTCTGATGCAATTTCTTCATTTTTTTTGACTACTGAATAGTGATAGTTTACCGAGTTACTGTAACCACATCCTTGTTGACAACTTCTGAGAGAAGAAACGAGTGCCCTCGAAGTTTACTTTTGCTAAAGGGCTAGCTGATTTGCAGACAGATACACAGTTTACTCACAGATTTCTTCACATTTCCCATGCATCCTGATGGCTATCCTCAGAACCAGACTTGGCAATTACTATTTTGCTGCTATGAGATTTCTGGAGCTAGGTCCAAATGCATGCAAATATCAGACTGAACTAGGGCACTACAGGTAGAATGAGTGCGTAGTACCACTATTTCCACTGAAGTATCCCTTTGGGTTTTAGTGATAGCTGCAAAAATACGAAGTGTGATTAAACTTAGAGGGCTTTATGAAAGCTTGGCCCCGCATCTCAATGAGAACAATCAAAAGAATATCGGAGATTTCAGAAGAGACAAGTAGTCTCAGAAAACAGAAGTTTTAATGTCTTCTCTTTTACAATCAAATATACAAGTTTGCATAAATCTGCCTTGTTAAGGCATGAACATCAAAAGACCCCTGAGTACGTCAGATAAGCAACTTCAAATATCCATTCAAGTAAACTTTGGATCTTCCACGACATCAGTATCCAACTGTCTCAACTTCATTCCACAGATGGTATAATTTCTTTTTATCATGGGGATCTAGGACTTGGCCAAAATATCAGTCTAATATTTTCTTTTCAAGTCCAGCAGATCTAGGTTCACACCTTGCCACATTTCTGAATGCAGAGGCTCACAAGACTGGTGATCTGTGATCAGGAGCTTTTTGCTTCACTCTTTACTCTCTTTGCAACTGCTTTTGTAATAAATGGAATCAGAAGGCACAGCAGAACTTTCTGACTACATTACAGACTCTGTATCCAAGTTTTTTGTATCCAGATTCTTTTCTTTTAAGAAACTCTGTTCTTTACCACTTTAGGAGTATGGTTATATCCAAAATGATCCCTTGAATGAATTTATGACAGTTCAGAGTAGTTTGAAGTTTTCTCTTTCTTTTGACTTAGCAGATCCACATGAATGTTCTCTTTACATGAAAAGGTAGTGACTTGGTATTCAACGCAAGAGCATAGTCTATCTTACTCTATCTACTCTTACTCTAAAAAAAAAATTAGAGATTTTGTTGCAAATTAGACAGGTCACAGGGTTGGTGCTTTCTACAAGAAACAAAACACTACAGGAACCACAAGTTTCATATGGAAGAAAAAGGTTAGCAGAGTTTCCAATTAATTATGCCTCCCTTGTCCTGTTATGAACATCAGTCCTGGAGACAGGGGTAGCCTTCACTTTTGGAAATATCTGTGTGCCACGATGATGAGTACTGCCATATTTAGAAATTGAGGAATCTCCGAGCAAAAATACTTTGCACTTGGAATAGCCACAGATACTTTCAAATCTATTTCTGTTGAAACTGCAAGTCAACCATGTGATTTGAAGAATATCGATCCTGAAAACAGATGCAGGTGGATGAGGGGAGCTAGCTTAAATAATGTCTCATTTCTTCCCTTTAAAAGGACCATTTTGCACAAAGCAGCAGCCAGAAGACCATCAGTGCTGAAGTCTCCAAGGCTGTTGCATTCTTGCAAATCTGATGATTGTCTGAAGTCCCACACTAAATTCTTCCAACAGGTGAAATTCAATACGCTGATAGCCTGAAAACTTCTAGAACTGCATGCTGCATCAAAATGAAATTGGCCTTTTGTAAATACTCTGGAGAGGAAACACTTGCACGGTTCCTGAACTTCATTTCAAAGAACTGCTAAGTTATTTGGCGTTAATACATTTTGGCAGGCTCTAAAATCAAAAGATTTTTGAATGATCTTGAAGATACAAGAGATAAATTATCATTTCTCCACTTGCACCTTGTAATGGATTCACCTGGAGACTTCAAATCCAAGCTGGTTAAGTCCATACTTCTCTTCAGAACCGCAAAGGAGAGGGATCTTCTAACACCGAATTCTAGATGAACCAGTGTGATAATTTTAAGTAGAAATATTAGCAGAGCCTTGCGCTTAAAAGTCCTGATATTCTCCAGAGATTCCTGGGATATACTTTCACTTTGAAATACTACTTATTAATTAAATCAACATGGAATAAATTTATACCAAGTATACAGTCCTGAACAATTATTGCTTATCATCAAAATAAGACATAAACAAACCATTCTTAATAGCGTTCTTCTATTACCTTCTTATTTGGGGGACTTTGGGGTGATGGGGAAAGGGGAGAAAGGGAGAGGAGCTGGATGAGAACTTAAAAGGTAAGAGAAAAAAGTTACTTACCTATAACTGTAGTTTTGAGAGTTTTGCTCCAGCAGATTCACACTCTTGGGATGTGTGTCTCTGCTGCTATAGGCTCCGGAACGGATAAAAAAAAAAAAAAAAAAAAAAAAAAAGAGGTGCCCATGGCACGCATCCAAGTGCCCCCTAGCTGATCCAATTACTGGAAATAATGTTATGACAGCATCACTTTCTTTCACTAATTCAAAGAATCCATAGAAAGATTCCAAAGAAGTAGATAAAATGAATCTTCAAAAGTAAAAAGAAAAAAAAGCCACAGATATGAATATGTTTGTCTTATTTAAAAATATATATTTCTACTCTTTTAAGTTTTAAAAAAGTCAATAGCCTCCCAATGAAATGTTTAGTACTTTAGGATTTCATGACCAATCTCACTAAGTCCAGGGAGAAGTGCCTTGTGCAAGTAAAAGCAGTACTCCTTAACCTGGTAAGACATGTGCATTACACAGAAGTGTTTCTGAAGTGGCTGAAAGCCTGTGAGTGAATATTCGGCACAATGTATGTAGGAGCTCAAAGTTTAGCAAATCTGATTGAGAGAGACTAACAAAATCAGAAAAGAAGTATTGGAAAAAAAGATGGACTACATTCTGATTTTTCCAAATTTGGCGTTATTTTCACGGTTAATTTTCTCTTTTCCCCTGTCTAAAAGACTCAGAGCTCCTTTTAACATTAACATCTTAAGATCTTTTTATTCACAATATATAGGATCTTGAGAAAAGCAAGGAATAAACCTCAAACCTGAAAATTAATGTAGCAGCTGGTCTAAATCTTAAAGCATTAGAAGAGCTTAACATAATACTCTGAGAAAGGTTTAGAATAAAAAACAACAAGCTAGCTTTAAACTACTTGATTGTACATACCAATAAGTCATTTATATTTGAATAGGTAACAAACCAAACAAGTTTAATGCAAAGAACTGAAGTTAACAAAAATAAAATTCCTCTCTCTCAACTTCCCACCCATGGGGAAAAAAAAAAAAAAATCCTGTACTTTCTTGGAAGAGTCAAGTTCAGATCATGGACTCCCCTTAAGGGGACAAACTGGTTTCAAAACATGGAACTTTGCCCATTTTAGAAGCAATAGAGAGCACCAAGTAGTACAGGAAATGCGACTACAAACAGTGATTAGAAGAGGAAAAAAAAGAAAGAAAAAGGCATGCAGTTTCCCTGCCTCTCTGAAGAAATCAGGTCATCAACGGCGTACCTAGGCTGAGGACAGTCAACTCGCTCTTGATTGCTACGGCCAAAACACAATCCCGTTTCATATTAGCCCTCAGAATCACCCAAATCACCTGTAAAGCTCTTCACAGATAATCTGAGTCTTGATAAATGATAGGTGGATCTATCTCTGAAATCGCATCTTTTCCAAAGAGAAGATATGACCTAATGTTGCCAACTTATATCCAATGAAAGCCACTGGGAGGTATCTGGGGTGGGTGGCAGGGGGACCCAAGGACAGGAGGCCATCAGATTTCACAGACCTATTAGTTCTGGAAAAGCTTTAGTGCAAGTTGCTCTTATCTTCAAAACTTCCACTTACTCCTTTCATTAACAGATAGAGACAAATTACTTGCAAAATTAATCAATACAAAATGATTTCCTCAATGGAAGGTAGGAAGAGAAGATGGCATCTTGTCCCTTCCACACAGGAAGGGAGGGTGAAATTGTAAGCCCTGTATCATGACAAGAAGACCATAAAATCCACCTAATAAAAGATTGCAAAAAAACCTTAAGGGATAGAATAAGAACAGAGCTCAGAGAAGCTTACACATATATGAAGACCAAAGCTCTGCATTAGGAGATCTCTCCTTATGCATTTCTGATAGACATTGCAGCAATTCTGCCAGCTTCTGCATCAGCCACTTTTGCGCTGAGAATTATTTTCCCAGGAAGCCAAAGGTTACACCTGGGTTCCAGAAAGAATGGCACTTGTGCAAAACCCTGTTAGTTCCAGCTTGGAAATGGAGATGCCTCTCACTTTGAGAAACCATTTGGTGGAAACTAAACACTCCAACAGTTGTGTTAGAGTTACAGGATTCTGTAATTTCCAAAGTGCTCCGATCCCCATTTCCACCTGTACCAAGCATTACAGAAGAACCTTAGCATTTCCATAGACAAATGCAGCAATTGTGTGATTTTTTGCAAGACCCCCCCCCGCCCCAAAAAACAACTATCCACTTCCCCCAGAATAATACTCATGGCTCCAAACCTTAGATAGAACATAACATATGCATCCAACGTCTTACACTTATAAAAGAAGCATCTGAACATCTCTGATGAAGCATAGTACTGTAAATATTTCATATCTAAAAAAGAAACAATGGAAAACACCACTGAGTTTGCACCAGAATTTGAGGAAGGCACTTTGACTCAAAGTAATTTAGGGAAGATGACAAAGGGTGCCCACACAGAAGTGATACTGTGAGATTGCAGTGTGTATCTCCATGCAGCATGGACGAAAGGAGCAAAGATGCTTTTGTGCAGAGTTTAATATGTGCTAGAATCTACAGTAAGATCCCCCTTGGGATGCTTCGTAAGCACTGTGCCAGCTAACCCCAAAAAAGCAACCAAAAAACCACACCCTTGTGTTCAGTCTATTCTACTTAGACCAAGTTACAAATCCTATCATTTTCTTAACATAGTTTAACTTCAGATCATATCATGTCTTAAAATGTGCAATGCCAGCTTTTTCTGTAAGCACAATAAGCAGCTTCTCAAAAATGACTGATGTGTAGGATATATTTCTAATGGATGTATTTCCATAGGAATGTGAGAGGACCTGCAATCACACCAGACCAAAGGGCTGGAACACAAATGATCACGGAGCAAAGCCAGACTGTATCAACTGCTGGACATGGCACTGACTTGCAAGCAATGGCAAAAGAGTTCCTGAAAAATAAGAACCATATTTCTCAAAGGTGGCAGTTTTTCAGGGAATCTATCCCCAGAGTGCTAAAATCCAACTCTGTTCTTATTCATGAAAGAAATCTTGGCAACTGAACAGAAAGAACTGCTCTAACACAGAGACAACTTACCACCAGTGAATAAATGACAACCATTTGTCCCAATAAGAGGTAACTCTTGCACCTGAGCCAGAGCAATTGCAGGAGCTCATGGAAACCTGAGACCTGGCAGAGGATGCATGCAGCGAAGCATAGGCTTGGGATCCGTATTTGCTACCGAGCAGTGGTAAAGGGGAGAGATGACATTACATAAAAACACTGCTTTCTCAAAAGGAAACAAATCAACGTCTGCATGCAGCTATGTAACTATGCTTGTAAACAAGCTTCACAGCTAAAGTTCATCACTTCATGAAAGTCAGAAAAAAAAAAAGTGTTTTACTCCAACTCTATAACTGTCAGAAGGCTGCTGTGCAACATGAAAATTACACTGCATTTTTCTAGATGTTTTTTCAGCTAAAAGGTGCTAGAGAACCTACTCTAATAGAGGGGATATAAAAGTAGCTTTCAAAGAAACAAAGTATCAGGAGACAAACAAGTCTTTCGCAATTCCATTTCAAATTAGTAAAAGAGCAAGATAGCAAAACCCCCATTTCATTAAATCAGAAGTAAAGACAAAGTGGTGATCTCTTGAGGTAAGCACTCATTTTCTCTCAATATTAAGGTATGTATTCTGACAAGAATTAATTAAGTTACTGAATAAGAAATATCTAAAAAGTGCATATTTCTAGTACTTGCAATAACAGTCATATGCACGTACATGCACACACACACACACACTTTGTACATATATTTAAAATGGAAAATTTTCTTTAAATAAGGAAAGAACTTCTGCTCTCTCTGCTGATTAAAAACAAAGTGGTAATAAAGTCACATTCAGATGTCACCCAAGTATATCAAAAATTTATTACTTCCAGCTATGACTGTCCAAAACCAGAAATTGCTGTTTCACTTCTGCAAGGTTTTCCTTGAAGTATCTAATAAATTAGAATTATCCAGGAATATATTTTCTTGGAAGTTAAACACAGTCTACAAAAGCTTTTAAATACTTATGCTAACCTATTACTATCAATTTTATAAAAGAAATATTTGATTTTCAAGATTTATTGGGGGGGGGGGGGAATATACTTCTGAGATTTCAATCAGTTAAATCAGTTAATAGTAAATAAAAGACCTTACTGAGGATAGATCCAATTAGATTAGTTAAGATAACCAGTCTAGCTAGTAAAGTGAAAACACCTCAAAGGCTCATCTGGTTCTATATGAAGGCCCATATTGATATACAGGAGCAATATGAAACCTCTAATGCCTACATAACAACGGATATGGAGCCAAGAAAACTTTGAAGCCTGTTAACAGAGTAGTATATATCACCAATACCTTTAAAAGAGCGGATGTGATCTAAAACCTTCATGTTAGGTTCAAATAGGGATAAGCATAGAAATAGGATAAAAATTTTAAACTCTGTTCTTAAATTAGGCAACATAGGTGGTTAATTAATAATTCTTTCAACTACCACAATTTATTACAAATTTGGACTAGAAACATGGCACTGCTGGGATTTTAGAACCATTATAAACAATACCAATTTTATCTCATTTAGTCTCAAGGTTCTAAATAAGGGTAGTCAGAAAAAAAATTGAAACATAAGAACTTCACTTTCATCTGTTAAGATCCCAAAAAAGAATAAAAAGAATAAAAGAAATGTTAAAAATAGGCATATGTGAGAGATTACAAATCATTGCTGGAGAGGAATGGAGATGTGGTAAAAGAATCTATGCTGATTAAACAGACTAGAACTATGTGACAATGACAGGAAGGTTTATATATATATATATATATATGGATTTTATATGCATATATATATGTTTATATAATATATATAGTGTATACACACACACAATCCTTTTACCTTTATCTTGCACTTCTTTTGAAAACCGCTCCCTTTCAATAGCTGATTCACGTTCTATCCGCTCAATTTCAGCCAATGCATCCAATTCTACTTCATCATATGACGTTATAGTTCCGTGGTGCGAAACCTGTTGCTGTGCCTGTACCACAGGAGTTTGAGGTTGTTTTGCAGCAATTGAAGTGTTCTGTTGTAAAACAGGCACTTGTTGTGCCTGAAGGAAAGCTGTCTGTTCGTGCTGCGGCAAACACTGAGCAGCGTTTAGTGGGCGGGTAACATCCTGTGGAGTAACTGGTGTTTTAGAAGTCTGTCCTGGGTACTGCACATTAAAAGGAATATCACCCTCTGACACACTGCTGTTTTCCAAACCAGAAAGCATATCATCCTGCTGGTCCATATCCGAAGATCTTACACGAGAGAGTCTTAACGTAAGCTTAGTGGAGTCCTTGGAAGGAGAACTAATGATATCATACATTGCAGCTTTTTCAGTCTGGTCTTTTTCATCCTTGCCTAACTTCATTTTCTTTTGTTTCTTTTGCTTTCTTTCTGGAGAATCTAACAATATGTCTGGGGGCACATCTCTAGGTGATGAATAAGGTGGAGGCTGAGACTGTAGGATTAAAGGTGGTCTTGATCCTAGAATAATAATTCAGAAAAACTGAACAGTTATGTTGCTTCAAGTTTATATAAAAACACACTAAATATAACCTACATAATCTTAAGGTGTATTTGCACATATATCTGTGTCCACAAAAGGTCTAAAAAAGATCGGTAGGAAGCACATCATTCCCAGATCAAGATGCAATACAGAGAGTTGCGCTGGCTTTCCTAGGAATTATAGCAGTCCACAGCAGGTGGAGAAGGGATCATTTCAGAAAAGAAGGAACCAAAACACCCACCACCAAAAAACATAGTACCTGCAGGTTCAGAAGGCTGGTTATTAGGAACTAGTTAATGAAAGCAAGTCGACTACAGAAAAGAGAAAGGATAAAGAACCTTGGAAAGGTCCAGTGATGAATATTTAATCATCAGTGTACAGTTACTGGCCATTCCAGGAAAATATTTATAAATTAAAGAAATGACAAACAAAAATTTTAGGAAGGGTTCCCTACCTAAAAAGGTATATGAAAAGATGAAATTAGAAAACATTAAACAAATATAAAGGCCTTATTAATTAAACAAAGAAATTGGCCTTTCTTTCCTCCTTAACTTTGATTCTGACGGATTCATTTTTGTTTTGTTTCAATTTTGATTCCAACTTCCTCACTCATCATTGTCTACAAAATGCTAATTATCATAAAGAATTAGTCTACCATTCCCCCCACTTACCTCCCCCCCCTTAAAATATACTTGTTTCCACTTCTAAATGCATTGATTGCAAACATTGAGTATATTTAGATTTTTTTTTAAAAAAAAAAAAGACAACATCTTACACTAAAAACATTCTCCATTCACAAAATTACAATTTCTGTCTGTCTGTTCTAACCAACTCCCCTTATCTCTTGCCCAGAAAAGGCTTTAGAAACAGATAAGCTTTTCAACCTGTCCTGATAATAGCTTTGAACAATAACTTTTGGCTTACGATGGAATGACGGTGTGCCCAAACAAATGGAAACATATGCTCCAGCCTGCTCTTGTTTCATTAAATCTAATATTTCTCTGATCCCATTCACCCATTGGAGGACATTGATTGTCATGAAGCAGTCATTAAAACTATTAACACTCATTGTGTTTCAGGCCATCATAGGCCAGTGCTTCTCCCACCATCCAAAATTAACTGGAAGGGAAGGTGTGCTTTGGTGAAGAACCACCACAAAGCATGAAAGCAGCTCTGTTCTGCAGCTGAATTTCTAGCTTATACTTTGAGTTGTGCTATGGGCATCATTACGCAATATATTGACCTGCAGGTGAAAGAATGGGTATCTGCAGAAAAGCCTCAGTTAAAATGAAAGGTGTTCTTTCACCACTGACTTCTTTGCATCGACTCCTATCTTTTATTTTCTATTTCATTCCGAGAGATGCCCTAAAATCTCTAAACGAAGAGCAGGGTATAAAATTCATTTATCTTGCCCAGCTCTCCTTCCTTGAGTATCATTGACAGCTCCATGTTCTGCCAATGACACCTGCAATGTTGGAAAGCCCTGTGGTTGCTCATCCCGATTCTCAATATCCTTCCACTACTCCATTCCTTCTCCTACCTTAATTTAGCTGCACTCAATTTCTAGTGCTGATGTTCCTATAAAATCAGTCAGCACAAACAATTTTCTGTGTTTCAGTTTCTCCGAAACTATTTGTTTTCTTTCTCCAAATATTAGAGAAAGCTCAAAACTTTTTGGAGATCTTACAGACATCTCACTCCCTCATTCTCAGTTCAAAAGAGTATTCCCACATGGTACACTTAGCTACTGTTATTCATAACTAGATTTTGAATGGAGGACACAGGTTTGATTCTCCCTTGCCCTAAGCTTCAAGTAAATAGGACAGTATCTTTCTGATTTGATGCAATTTTCCATTTGTCATGCTAAAAAAATAACACTGCAGCAGCAGCAAAGCAAGTTCTTTTTATCTTTGGATAGACTTGAGGAGGTCAGAAGGATTTCAGCCCATTTGATTGAAAGTACTTGGAATCCAGTAAATGAAGAAACAACAGTATGGTTTTCCTTGTTGTAGGCAGCACTACGACTAGGCTATTTAAGAATATCTTCCTTCTGAAGGAAATTTCTGAACAATATTGATAGCAGTGCCTATAAGCTGCATCTTAAGAGGAGATGTTCTGGCAGTAACTGCACGTATTGCCTAACCATGGTTAAATCCAGAATGAAGCATGCAGAGTACATTTGGGTCCTTGCTCTGTCTGGTTTATTCTAAGATGAGTCTGACATCTCAGTCGGTCTGTCTGAGCTCTAACCTAGCAACAAAATGGTTAACATACCTGGCTGCAATACCTAGCTACTGAGGTGGAAAGAAATGGAAAAGGATGAGGTGTTCTGAACAGTTTTATTCTACTAGAGACATTTTAACAGTTTTGAACACATACCACGTGTAGTAAGTCACATTTATGACTTAAAATATTATAAACCCAATTTTAGAATATTCTTTTAGAATAGAGAAATGGGCAGCTTTTGAGTCTAGGTCTTGGGCTGCACTGCAATTCAAGAGAAAAATATCTGAGCTTCTTTGGCTGACCTATAGCATCAGTACAAGACTTCATAAAAACTCTTTGCATGCCAAGAGTACGTAAAGCTCGTGCAAGAACAAGAGACCTTCCACTGCTCTGGTAAGGTCGCTGCATCACGAGTGAGCAGCAAGTACCAACGGTCATCCAGATAATGCTAAATGTAAACGACAGCAGAGAACATCATAGGAGTAAAAGCCCTGTAAAGAACAGTATGGCCAGAGGCAACATTTCCATGACCTTTCAGTAACAATCTTCTTGACCACCCATGATATTCCCCAGATTGTTTTTCCATAATTATTAGTTTTCCTTGTGATTCCTCAGGATGGATAGCACTAGGGAAGAAATCTCATCAACTGTGTTAGCAATACCTTTTTTTTTTTTTTTTCTGTGATTCTGATCTGATCCTTTTAAGAACTTTTATAATGCAAGCAACTATAAAATGTTTTGCTCTGACAGTGACTGAGCCTTCTCAAAAACGTAAAGATTCATTAACAATATAAAATGAAATGGCTTCATTTGCACATTTAGACTCACCAGTAACTTCAGTAGGAAATGAACAGGCTTCTGTCCAAGAGATTATACGCATCACTGACATCTAAACCTTGTATTTTTGTCCGTACACTTTTTTTACTGTGCCACCGTATTCACACCTCCTCATTTAATCATTCATGACACTTTCTCTGATGCTCTCAGAGCCTCTTCAGAGCAAAGACCACTTGCCTCTCAAAGCTGATGCACCAAACTCTCACTGATGGCCACATTCATTTCTGTAATGCACACGCATACGGTAATAACCCAATCATTAAAGTTACCAGCAATCTAAGATTCAGGTATTTCAAAAAAGTCTTTCAACATTTGCTTATGCCAGAATAATGGTTTCTTACGCACAAAGGCAAGAAAAGCTACTAATTACTACAAGGACTGATGGATAATACCTGGTTTATACCACACTGAAGAGAAACACCAGGAACATTCAAGTGCTGTTACATTTTTCAATTTATACATTCTTGAAACTCCAGGAATATTATTTAAGTGGGTACCAAATGGTGGACCAAATGGTACCAAAGTGGATCTCCCAAATTTTGCTAAAGATGTAAAAGAATTATTACTTATTTTAACGAATGGACTACATTATATTCCGTTGTCAGAGAGCATCATTTAATTAAGAATTTCAACTAAAAAAAAAAAAACAGCATAATACACAAATTAGAGGGAAAAGAAAAAACACATTTGGGAGTTTATTGGAACAGATTTTATTTGCTTTCCATACTCTCATTCAACACATTTCAGGGAATGATCTCACTGTTTTCCCCACAGCTTCAAATGCTGGACCAAAAACTAAGCTTTGGCTGCTCTAGCTTGGTATTGTTTCATTCAGATGCATCCCTGTATAAAAAGTAAGGACATGAAGAAACAAACAAGGGTGGATGTTTATTTTGGGTCTGTCAGAAAACTTCTCTGGATAAATTTCTCACATCTTTCTTTCAAAAGAGAGGGGGAGCAATAATATTTATTCTAAACTAATACTTGTGAGAATACAAAGTTCTTAATAGAGATTTGAGAAGATTCCTAGTTCTCCTTGTCAGTCACTATGCATTTGGAGACCATGTGTACAAGAACCTTTCTGGAGAAATCCTAGAGATCCGTAAGAAAAGAAAAATAATCTTTCCAAGTCATTTGGAATATAGTCATGATTCCACACTGTATTGGAAGATCTCAGCCTCTACTGAAAATCTGCGTATTTTGAAAATTATTACTTTCTCAAATAATTTTGGAAAGGCTTATTGGAATATTTCCTGTGAGAGAATGATTAACAGTTTCTGGAAGGAAAATAATTCAATTCTGGAAGAAAGTGCAAAATGGCATAATTTAATAAGGTGTTGTTGCTAGTCTTTACTGAAGTTTCGCTGGGTGTTTAAGAAATTGTTGGGAAGCAAACAACGGTAATATATAAGCTCTACACTTTGGCAAGTGGTGGATGAAGAACTCTGTGGAAGGCTTCCCTCTCTACAACAGATCTTCAAAAGTTTTCTTAAAAAAGTGTTTTGTTAGATTCTACAGTAGAAAGAGCAGAGCAAATGAATAAAGCACTTCGATGAGTAATCTATCTTGGCTAATAGATCCCACAAAATATCATATATGAAATTAACAGAAAGACAGAAAGAAAATACTCCTTGATAATTCTCTGGAATTTATCTATTGTAACAGAACTGGTAGCAGATGATAGCCGCAATGCAGACACAAATCTGTTTTCATGGGTAAAAATACAAAATCTCTATAAAGAAAGAAGCGATATAGAACTCAGCCAAGAACCTTCCGCATAAAACCTCAGCTGCTCTGGTATCGTTACTGAAGTAGTAGAAGAATTTTACTCTATTGAATAAGTGAACAACCAATCAAAAGAGCAAATATAACTTCTCTCATCTCTCAAATATTTTGACGAGTTGAAAACAAACTTTTTTTCCCTCATTCAGATTGAGACATTCAGACAGCTATTGTTCAGTCTTAGAAAAATTGAAGCATTGCATAATTGAAAGTCCAGAAATTCTTGCTATTTCCATTTAAAAGTACAGAAATGTAGACTGTACTTGAATCTTCCATAACTGCCTCATAATTCTATATAAAGTAAAAAAGCTTAAAAAAATAAACAAATAGCCTTTCTGAGATCTTCTTCTGGAATCATGAACAACTGTCTAGTGCCATTCTTTTTGACCTCCTAAGAAATGAAATATTTTGAAGTTTTCTTTACCAAAGTTTCCAGACTTGCCAGCCAAGCTTTAATGGGTTAATTGCAGCAGCAAAAAATAAAAATAAAAACAAAAACACTTGGCCTCCCCTACTTGCTCTTTGTTCATCCCTGGGGGGGGAGGAAGCAAATGTCTGGCAAGATTCTTACAGCATCTAGAATTGGTTCTCTCAATTGAGGTTCATCGGTCTCCACTTTAAGAGGGCAAAATGCCAGCATCAGTAGTAACAGAGTATCAGTTTTGTGCTTTATCAACCCAGAGAAGAATAGATCTAACATTCTAACATACAACTATACAAATGAAAAAGCTCCTCTTGCACCTTTTCAGCCTTTGTAATCCTGCCTAAAAAGTATACCTGCAAAATGGATTCTGGGAGAACCAGTAGCAGCAATTTAACAAACAAAGAAACAAACAAGTTTTTCTCCTGACCGCTAAGCATATCTGAGTGGAAGTAGCTTAGATTTACAATACTGTTGAGCTGACAAACTCTGTAAACAGGGATTTTGTGACAATGCACTGAGTTAAAGAAACAAAAGACACACAGTCTTTGCCATTTATACAAATTCTACAAGTCTGCCATTTACACAAATCCAACAAAACCTCCTAATATACTCATGCTGGTGGCATGCCATACAATTTCTTCTCACATTAGCTAACATCACTGTTTAACACAGTATGTAGCTACAGGAGATGAACCACAACAACCAGTCAGCAAACACGTGATCATTGATGATCAGTTAGGAAGGGATCTCAGGAAGTCTCTAGTTCAAACTCCTGCTCAAAGCCTGATGAACTAGGCGGCCATGCGCGGCTAGGCAGAATTTTATTCATTCTGGACTTGAAAGCATCCAAGCATGAAGACTACACAGATTCTTTGGGCAACCTCTTCTAATGCTCAGCTGTCCTAATATTAAATTTTTCCTTATATCTAGTCAGAACACCTCTTGGTTCAATTATGTCTGTTGTCTCTTGCACTCCCTCCATAAACCGCTGTGAAGAAAGAGCCTGACACTGTCTTCTTGATAACCCTCTCACAGGCTGCTCTGAGGTCCTGCTGCAAAGCCTTCTCCAGGCCAAACAAGCCCAGTGCTCTCACCTGCTTTGCAGGTGATTTTGCCCCTTTCTGGCTCTCTCTCTCCACCTAAACTGACCATCCAAAAAGACTTAATTTTATTCCAGTGCTAAACAGAAGAAAGTACTGTTGCACTTTAAAAAAAATGTACTTACACAACAATATATAAGTACTGAAATCCTAAATTACCGAGAATATTCCCAAACCTCTATTTTGCTTTATCTCATGCACCTCAGTCATTGTTTTTAAGGAATAAAATTAGAAATAACATCATGCATTCTAGACTTTAGTATAAAGAATTACTTCAAGCAGATTTTTCTGTTCCTTTATTACCTGTCTGATAGTATACCCTATTCCTTCTCTCCAGCTAAGGTTTTTAGGCTTCATTTATACTAGATATATTGTGCTCACTGAATTCATTTTCATTTCATGCGCTTGAAATTTCATGATTACAGCCAACCCAAGCATTCCATGTTAAACACTTCTGAGTTGGTTAAGTGTTCAATACTCGTAATGCTGCCTTTAAACTATTTATTATGCAGAGCAACTGAAACCGTTTTTACGGTAAAATTTAGCTCTAATATGGGAAAGGATTTACAATCCTTCTGTCCTCCATGAATTTGAGCTTTGTTTTGAAGTAACATTAGTCAGTTTTGGATATTCAAAAGCTTCTGAATCAGGGCTCAAAATAATTTTGTAACTGAACGTCTGATGACATACTAGGACATACTCAAGACCTATAAGGATATAGAAGATATTATATAGAATATAGTCAATAAAACTAACTAAAAAGCTCTTTAAACAATCTGTCTTTTATAACTGAGAAAAAATGCATTGGTGTATATATAACTGCTAGACTACCTTTAGAGGTTCCATCACTTCCAGCTGGAGAGCACACTGACTGCGGTGACCTCAAGGAAAAGGATGCAGCATTCCTTATGGAAGGATCACCATCCTAAAACAACAATGATAAAAATTAGTATTATGAACAGGAACACTTATAAAATAAGCCTGCAATTAGGACATATATGGAGAAGATGGAAGAGACCAAAAAATAGTAATAGTAATAATTTTTTAAAAAAGAATGACAAATATTATAAAAACATTTATTAAATCTGTAGCTGTAATTTTAATATTGTATGTAAACCCCATTGTATGTACAATTTTTGGTATTACATACCAAACCACTCTTCAATTTCCCTTTAATGATCTGTGTGTTTTTTTATTGTTTTAATAGAGCCTTCTTCTGGTCAAGAGTAAACTCAATCACAGTCAGGGACCTTACTAGTTTTAAGTTTTATAAAACACTATTACCCATTTTTGGCCTTTTTTTTTTTTTTTATTAAATAGTGTCTAGGTTAAAATGAATGTTTTCAAAAAGAACAAAATAACGCTTAACATTTATGAAAAGACAATTTCAGTTAAGTATTGACAAATCACAAAAAGTTTGAATTATTTACTTCCTACTTAATTCTGAATCTTGATTATTACACTACCTCATATTCCAATGTGCCTTTTACTGAGCTACGTGCACACACAGTTAATTCTTACAACATTTTAACATTTCCTCCCCCCTTATTGTTTAGCCTGAATGTTTGCTTATGCCCCAATTCTTTCTTCTGAATCTCTTTGGCCAACTTCAAGTGAACCTTGCAGAAGATATTCTCAACGAGAAGCTTAGGAACCACGTGCTTCTATGAGAAGCCAGTATTGGGCTATGTAATGAGAAAGCCAGACTGGCATTTTGAGGAAGCCACAGTCTGCTTTATCTTTGAAAAAGCCCTCCACACACACAAAAAATCTCAAGTACTGTGAGAATTCAGGTTAGTATTTTTTTTTTTTTAGCACAGATGCTTTTTATGATAGGAGAGGTGCCACAGCCACGGCTGCCAGGGACAAGGGCAGAGGCGCTACCTTTCAACAGGGCAGCCAACCTGTGCTGCACACACAACATTCCTACTGCAGCTGCCACTTCGGAGAAATTTACTGTCTCCCTCCTTCAGAGGTGAATCAAATGCTGAAATGCAAGTCAAAACAAAGTGGGAAAGGCGCTCATATGTCTTTCAAAATAAGAGGAAAAGTCCTTAAGTTGAGGGTATGTGGAGTGTTCCTTCAAGCACATATGCTGATTCTATAAAAATCTTATGTTGCAAATAAACAATATCCTGTAAATATTCACAACTTTAAAAACAAGTTGTCAAAGTAATAAAACCCTAAGATTGAGAAAAGTACTACAGAACAAGTAAATGATTTAATAAACCTCATCTATAACTGCATCTGTATCAAATGTTACACTGCTTCTGATACAGCTACAACGTAATTGATTATTGTTCATATGTAGATGCAAAACTTGAATTAATTCAAATCCTTGAAACCATTTTCTGCATAACAAAAATCAGATGCAAAATGAACAATTATTATAAAATGCATTTACATAAATATGCCAACTAAGAAAATGCATAGAGGGATAAAACTCTGAGCCTCTCAGAAAAGATATGTAATTTTTTTTCCTAAATGTTTGCTTTACTTACATTTATTAGACAGCTACTCCTAATGCACATGAAGTTTATTATGTTCTACTTCCCTAATTCATTTAAATACAAAATGGATCAAATATACTTTTTACTACTTGTTTATCTTAGCATTTCTCTATTACATAGAGCAATGACAGTATGTTTTGCGTTTTCATAGTCTGTCAGCTCTGAGTAAGTTTCATTTATAAGTTCTCATGAACCAGGAAGCTGTTGCATGGTTTGAATTACCAAATTAGTGATGAACTTTTATATATATATATATGCGCATATATATATATATAAATATTCCCTCTCTAAACAATCAAGTATATTTTCCTAATATCAAAATTCTCCAAAATTCTCAAAAAATCTTAACAAAAACCATGCCCAGAAAAGATTATTTTTGTATATTTAATGCCAAAAGCAGTTCCCTGTTTACAAGGATTTTCATCACTGAAGCAGAGACTGAGAGAAACAGCTAACAATTCTATATTAAAAGATTCCTTCATTATAAGCATAGTATTTCAATTGAATATGTTTTAATTACTTTTTTTTTTTTTTAAACAAGACAGACTAATTAAAAACAAGATTAATGAAACTGATGACACTTACATCTATTGTATTAACACTGGTAAGGGGCTTAAGGAAGCTATTCTTAATAAGCACATTTGTTGATTGCAACTCTTGTACAGAGTTACCTCATGGAAGCTAAAAGGAAACAGTAAGAACGAGAAAAAAAAAAAAGGGGGGGCGGGGGGGAGGGATCAAGTTTTGATCAAAAAATTGTTGCAGGCATCACTATGATCACACTGTTCAAAGAGCCTAAAGTCAAATACAAAACTGAAACTCAAGGGTTCTCCAGTTAAAAGCTGTCAAGAGATTTACTGGGAAGAATTTCAACATGCTGCTTCTACAGGAAGAGATACTCATTAAGAAGAAAAAATAATCACTAGTGTAGGAAATAATTTTGGTGAAGTTTGGAGCATCATTTTTTCCTTTAGAAATTAGCACTCGAGTTCAGCAAGAATTTCTCCCACGTTAACTGAAATTAATGATACATGGAAAAACCTCTTTGGAAGAAACAAGGCCATAAAGCACTTTATAGAACAACAAGAAAGGGCCATAGGAGCTCTTGCCTTTGACAAGACCAAATCACTATCCAACAGGCTATTCCGGTATTTCAAGTCCAAATGAAAATTGCAAAGACCCTCAGTGAGGCAACTATTACTCATTTAGATTTGAGTATTGCTCACATCAACATATTACTATGATAACTGTAGCAGTACTAAATAATTGTTTTTGTTTACTTGTAATAATAATTTGCATCTCAAAATAAATATAGTAGTGAGATTTTTCACTTTCTATAATTTCAATAGAATGGATGTTATAAATGGTTCCAAAAGAAAGAAAAAGACAGGTCGCGCAGGAAAAAGCTTCACATGCTAAGGTTAAATGCTTTAGTGTACATGTGGAAAAATGATATATACTTCCAGTATTGTTATGCATCATGAGCAACTTACTGAGTTTTCAGATAGCTAAACACATATTTGCTTTATCATAATAAACCAATTTAGGCAACATACATCACTGCTTAGTCTGTGCACCATCTGTAGGTAGTCTTCATTTGAGCCATGTCTAGAATTATCAGCATGATGATTAGCTGAATTGCCAGACAACTGACTTGAAACTTTATTTTCATGGAGGTTTCTCATCCCACCTGAGACAATGGGACTGGATACTGAAGCTGAAATAAGAAAAATGTGAATAGTTATACTAATACACACATACACATTCTAACTCCAAAAGGTCTTACAGAAAACAACTTAATAGCAGATATTAATGAGATGGCTGCAAGAGATCGGGAATCTGAGCAAGTACCCACATTCCTCGACTGATTCTAAAATCTGAATTCCACATATAGGTTAACGAAGCTTCTCTCCGCAGATACTGTAATTACAGTCTTTGTCACAATTTACAGGTCATAGAAAACTTTTTTTTTTTCTTCAAGATATATTGCACTGACTTATCTTGATATATGAAACTTTTGAGATATGCATATGAAACATAAGATTAAATACAGAACATATTTTTTGCCGAGAACACTGCTAAACTTTAAGAATAGATCATTTAGAAGAATCCACCGAAAGTTCTACCTACCAAAAGAAGCTCTTAGATACTTCAGCAATGTTCGTGTTGTTCAAAATTGTTTCAAAAAAAAAAAAAAAAAAATCTATTCATTCTGAAGGTCATCTTCAGCAATTACTGCATGCTTAGAGCATAATTCTTGCCAATTTAGAACTAGTCTAGTCTACACCACAAAGGTTGTGTAAAGCTAAATGAGCTGGCAGCAGAACTGTCACTTACATGGGAGAAAATGAGTTAAGTGACAGCCATAGTTTACTTCATTTTTTCATGGCACACGAAGGTGTGTTTTGTCTCTTTTTTTTTTTAAGGATATGCTGCCATCAGTAGAGTCAGGTAAGCAAAATTTAAACATGCCAAAAAGTTCTAGCACCTCAATATTTTGCACTAAGCATATTGGCTCCTCCACAGAAATTAGAGAGCTGTGAAATAGGCATATTAAGATAAAACTGCATGAGACAGGAGGAAGAAAATAAACAAAAATATAGCGCAGACCTACCTTGCTGCATCTGAGGATGTGGCGTGTAACTGGGAGGATGTGAATATGGCATGTATCCTGCGGGGCTTTGAGGAGCATATGGACTAGGCACTGGACTGTTCTGTTGTGCCAAAAATCTGTTGCCAGAGCTTGTCTGTGGTGGCACAAACCGGCTAAAGATAAAACAAAAGAAAACATTTTTAAAAGTTGGAAGAGACAATGTAGACATTTATTATTCCTTTTGAAATACCAAACCTTCAGAACATTGTAACTTTTGGAAGAGGTGAAGTATTCCAAGGTAACTGGGAAACCCCTTCAAAAGCAACATTTCTTGCAAATTATCTATATCATCCCAAATTCCGTTATTACTGGAGAGCTACACTCCAAGTGATGCATTAGTCAAGGTAAAGGAGAGAATAGAAAACATTCAACAGACCTGCACTGATATAAGGAAACGCTGGCATTGACTCAAATACGTCATTTCCAAAGACATCCACAGCTTATTAAAAGCTTATATGACCTGCTTGTTAGCATTAACAAGGAGCCAGCTATTGAAAATGCAAATATTGCAGTAAGTTTTCAAAGAACTTTCAAAGAATTTAACAGAATTATTCTGCCAAGACATAAGAAAGTGATAGGCAGGCAGGATTTGACCCAGTCCGCTGAATACATATTCTATCATTGGCCAAGGGATGGATGCAAGAGATGGGAAGCCATAAAAATAAAACAGGGTTCTGACAATAATCTATGTACACTACAACTTGCATTCTTTCTTGTATGAGCTTTTCAAAATACAAATAAAATAGGCAGTACGTCAAAAGTTGTTTACAAAAAACAAAAAAAAAAGATGCGTTTAATACAAGGATTTTCCAAAGATTTTTGAAAAGACATGTCATGTAATAATCAAAAACTATGGAACTTTCTTCACTATCACTTTTAGATAAAAAGGCAAAAATAAAGACAGAGTGATCTAAAGCATCGCATTTGGCAGAATAATTGCATTAAGTGAAACGTGAAATAAAATAGTTTATTTTAAAAATTTTTATCTAGTAACTGCAGATGGACTCTGTTACAGATCCATAGCTAAGCTGGAACTGCAGGCAAAGCTCTTTATCCCAGCACACCTGAACAGCTCTATTAGCAAATGCCCACTTTATAGGTACTGTCTAGATGCTGACACTCAGAGGTTTGAAATGAACTAGAAAGTTGAAAAGGAAGCAAACCAGAATTGGTGGTCATGGTTGAATTTGCAATTCACGTCCCTTCCCACCAACCCCACTTAAATCCCGGTGTTACCTGGAAGGGCTGTGTGAGATAGTGGTTTGTTGGTAACTGGAAGATGCAGGACTCCCACGCATGGAATTCTGAGAGAGGTTGAACTGCGACATCATTATCCCTGGTAAGAGGAGAGAGCACTATGACTTCATATGCACTCCCTTATTCTATCTATAAAGTCTTTCACAAATGATTGTATTTGAAGAAATTAAGTTTATACACACATTAACATTTTCTACCAACAACTCTTAGAAAACATTTAAAAAATCCATTCCATGCAAGACGCCCATTTCACACTATGATATATTCACAAACAAACAAACATACAATGAAAAAAAAATTTATGTTCCCTAAAGAGGTGATAATTTGCTATAAATTTCAACAGTAACTCCTTCCTCTGTTCCTTAATGTTCCAATCCAAAACCTGTTTGTAAAAAACACACACTTTATAGCAGGACATATACCCAGAGTGGTGTGTACAGCAGTGCATGCAATACTCATCATACCAATAGGTACATAATATACATAATGCATAGCACATAATACCAATAAGTAAAAGATTTAGGAACATCACAGCAATTCAGGCAAGAAAACCCTCTAAACAGTGATCTCAGAGAGGTGCAAGATGCTCTCGCAGATCCTGGCATCCCTTAGCAATCCCTCCCATGCAGGGACAAACATCTTCCAATTCCACCTCTGCTAGTAAGCAGTGCTACTTTGGAAGCTGCCAGAATATTTGAAGTTGCAAAGCTGAAGCAATATTCCATCCATAGATTAAATTCACAGCCATGATTTGGAGTTTCAGGAACCACACTATATCTCACATCAAAGTACATAACCACTTGAAACTAACTCGCATCTTCGTTATGGATAATTTTAAAGAATCTTCTTTCTTTTAGATATTGGTATAAAAAAAATCTCTAACAACTAGACAGCAATAGAAGCTGAAAAGGTGCAGGTGCACAGAAACTTGAAATACTTTTAACTGAGTGATTTTAATAACAGGTGCCTAAAACAGTGTCAGGCTTTAGGTGCAAACTGTAGCTCACGAAATCATAGCGAGTGATCCACATCCATGTCTAAAACCACATCACTGTCAAAAATATTTTACACCAGAGGTTTGAGAGAAGGCTGAGAGCAGCCCACAATTCAAGAGTGTTTGGGAGCCAATCCTTCCATTACTACTGCCCATTTCAAAGACTACAGTATTTACACAAGCAAATAGTGTTTCAGAAACCCTCCCTCTCACCCTATTTCCTCTTTTCCCAGGGGAGGAGAGCTGGGCTAATCCCTGGGAACAAGGAAGGTGTGAAGGGCCTCATTCCAGGCACATTATCACAGTAACAAGCTGAGAACAGGAGCAAAGGTCTCTGGTTATGAAGAAATCTGTACTCCTACACTCCAATACAGAGGTTCTTTCATTGCCTTTGAGTAAGAGCAGAGGGATTCTCCCTCCTGCAAGGTTTGCTTAAACAGACACTGGGTGCCTTGCACAGAGGCCAGGCAGGAGGAGCTCCAGCTGGCAGGTACAAAACCTGGGGCTGCCCTGCACGTTGCCTCTATTGCCATTTCCAACAGAGAGGTTTTCTGGTGAGGCCGCATCTGGAGTATTGTGTCCAGTTCTGGGCCCCACAGTACAAGAGGGATGTGGAGCTGCTGGAGAGAGTCCAGCGCAGGGCCACAAGGATGATCAGGGGCCTGGAACATCTGCCCTATGAGGAGAGGCTGAGGGAGCTGGGCCTGTTCAGCCTGGAGAAGAGAAGGCTGAGAGGGGAATCTAATCAGTGTCTAGAAGTACCTCAAGGGAGGCAGTGAGGAGGATGGTACTAGCCTCTTTTCAGTGGTGGCCACTGATAGGACTAGAGGAAATGGCCGGAAACTGAAACATCAAAAATTCCATAGGAACTTAAGGAAAAAGTTCTTAACAGTGAGGGTGACAGAGCACTGGAACAGCCTGCCCAGAGAGGTTAAACAGACACTGGATGCCTTGCACAGAGGCCAGGCAGGAGGAACTCCATTTGGCAGGTACAAACACTACACTTGCATACTATACTACACATCTTGGGGATATTCCCACCAGGGTATAACATATTTGCCAGCTGGAATTTTAGTCAAACTACTAATCCTTAAAATTCATGTACAGAAAGATAACAAAACATGCTCATATTAAAGCTATGTAGGTCCTGTAAAGACAGAGTTTCATTTCAGGCTTAAAGCGGTGCTTGCACATTGGGTACACATCAAAGCCACGTTTATCTATCTCGGCCTTCCCCATTTACAACACTCCTCAAAACATGCATACAGTACTTCTTTGGTTTAAGAGGGACAGAAAATCCACTGGATTATGCAATTTGAGAAAACTAAAATTTACTCAGTGGCAGTCAATTTTCTTGTGCCTCTCTTTTTTTTGCCCCCCCCCCTTTTTTTTTGGGGCAATCTAGATAACTTGAAAAGTCTCTCCAAAGTTTCCAGACAGATAATAAGTCTGCCATGAAATGACGAAGGAGAAAAAAATATGCCCCTAAAATTTAGTCACAGCTTGACTGTGACTATGAATATTAAAATATCTTATTTGTATATTTTTACACTGTTGTCACATCACAACAGTGCAGATTTACAGCTACACTGTACATTTATATACCTTAGACATTCAAGAATTTTAACTCCAACTTTAATTCTGAATTATGGCAATGTTCAGTTTTGAAAAAACATCATCCCAGTAACAACATTCCAAAAATATTTTTCCCTAACACATACTCCCAATCTTGACTATGATTTCTTTTTTTTTCTTTGGGTTGGAAAAAAAGCAATAATTTAATTCTGTTTTAGCATTCCTAATAAATGTAAAAGAATGTACTATGTAAAAAACACAGCTCAAGATTGCAGACAGCGCCTTGTATGGTTAAACTTTATTTCAGTTTCACGCCTGTTGAAGCCGAGACAGCAGAATAGGCAATTTTTTGGTTAAATAGACACTCTTTACAAAAGTGCATGTCTGCAGTGTTTTTCCTTGTATTCTGTAAAAATGGAAAAAATAATCCAAGTAATTCACATCCACAGAAAGATGCATTCTTTAATCCAAAAAAAATGTACAAGTTGTCAGAGACAGCTTCAAGTGAATTTTAAGTTCTTTTTGAACCCTACATTATGAACACTAACCTATTGCAATACATTATCTAGCTTTTCTTTCTAAACAAATCTCCTGAAAGAATGAGACAAAGTGTTGAGCAGGAAGAGGGGAAAAGTTATTTTAAAAATTAAAATGGTCTAAAACCTTAATTCTAGATAACTTGGATTTTTAAAAATCCTGTTCACTCATGTTACAAGAATCAAGACAGATGTAGTTACCAGACGACATACAGAACTTCCTCTATTGTCTCATGAAAAAGGTCTAAGATAAAATTAATGTGTTGCCCTTTACACAAAGTTAGGCCAGGTGCTGGATGATGTGATTCAGTCTATTCAGACAGGCTGAAAATAGAAAACGGCCTATACTGAACATTTAAGAAAGTTTTAAGTGTTATCTCTCTTGGTTCTCTGAAACTCTTTATGTAACACCACTCAAAGTTTCATATTGAAATGTCACATATAACTCTTTACTAGTATCTTCCTTCTGAAGCACATTTGCTAAAAATAGTCACTCTTATTTCATCAGGAATTATTCTTAATCTATTGAATCAAGCTACTAAAGCCTTTCCCCCCAATAAAATCCAGAAAACAAATCTCTCGCCTCTGCATTGGCCCAAACTATTTCATTCCACCCAACTGCTGGAAAACCCCGACTCCTGCTCATTTGCTTTGTGGGACCTCCATGCAAAATGGCAGCACAGTTGGGAAAATACTATTTTATCACTGCTCGGCATCAGACTAACCAAACACAGAATCCGATGCTTCAAAACAGATCAATAATGTTCTAAGTATTTACCACTGCCCTGAAAAATCTTCATCCAAGAAAACATCCGTACCCTGCAGAGGAACGGTCCTAAACAAGTTCTATTCAAGTATCACATGTTTTTTTACTCACTCCAGCAGTATAACCCACTACACCTCAAAACAGAATTAGATGAAGAAATATTAACTTCTGTAGGGCTTCACAAGCAATGGCAGGGAGGAACTGTTGAGCATAGTACATTCAGCCTCATTCCTTGCTCCAGTGCTATTAAGAATGACCTCTATTACAAGGCAGTACAATTGCAACGATTTTCTGTAAGATCAAGTTGTACTTTTTCAACCTACGAGTGTTTATTAAGACAAATATGGAAACCTACCCATAAAGAAATTCAAATAAAGTGAATGAAAAATGAAATTCAACCAATCCTTCTCCTACAAAATAGCACTCTTGGCAATAGTAAACATTATTTTTACTAAATACCCAGTGGAGTTCATTTCCATACTTACTCTAACAGAATCACCCATAGAAGACATTAAGAGAGATGGCTTGATTTTGCTAAAAAAATACAAGGTAAGGCATAAATATCACATATCTGCTCCATATATATTTCTGGTAGATTCAGTCCCCTAAACTTAAAGAACAAGATAAATGCATTCTTACCGCTTTGCACCCCATATCTGTTTTGCATGCTTTTCTCCCTGAAAACATTTGGATTCCTTGCCAGGATAGACTGCAGCAGGATTGGTATATCTCCCTCTGGATCATCACTGCCAAGGTTGTCTTTCAGTTCTCTGGAATTGTGGAAGTAAACAAAAACAAATGCCTTTTCAAACCATAAGAAGCTACAGGTCAAGTAAAAAGCAAAACAAAACCAGAAGTCTGCAAAAGACTGTTCCCTGCCTCTATATTAATTTCCTTCCCCCTGCCCCTTAATTGTGGCCTGGAAGAAGAGGTATTTCTGTTAGTCTTCAAAATTTTCTGTTAATAAGCCTTACATACACATATACATGGTTGTCACTTCCTGACATTACATAGTTTCTTATGCCTACTTCTGTATCTTGACCTTCTCCACTAAAGAAAAACATTTTGGCATAGCAACTGAAAAAGTGCTATGGTAGGAGTGAAATTAAGGAACAAGACCTGCGTTAATTTATTGCACTCATGTTGCAACCAGCACTTTGCATGTACTATTTTCTAAAACAGAAACTACCATGTCTGTGATTCATAGGATTCCTTCTGAGCTTCATAAATTTTCTTTAAATGTCTTTACTTTCTTTTATTATTTGTTTTGAGGACTTTTAGAAACTAGTTCAATTTGATCAAAACAACTGATTGGAAAACATAGGAAAAAGAGCTGTCAAGACAAGCCAATTTAATGAACTGCAGGGACAAATGAAAAAATACATATTTAAAAGACAGAGGATATACTAGCATACTTACTAGTTCAATTCTTAAAATACTTACGCTCAAGATCTAATAAAAATTGCCAGGGGTCTTAAAAGAATGTTCTTTGTGCAATATTAGGCATACTTCTCTATCTCTGTATTTGTGCATACTATTAACCAAACTGGAACACAAATGACTATTGAAAAAACAAAAATTTAAGTATGTCCTCACAACTAACAAGCAGGTAAAAAGCAAGAGATATTTAAAAATAATAAAAAAAAAATAAATCCACCCAAGCAAACAAAAAAACCTAAATACAAAACCAAAGTAAAAACAGTTATACATAAGACTGCTGGACATTTACTAACATTGTAATTTACAGAAATAAGTAACTGCTATACAGATAATTAACTCTATACAGTGGTACTCTGCTAAACAAACCTAACCAGAAAAAAAAAAAAAAGTGTTCTTATTTTCAGATTTTAATCAAAATCCTTCTCAAGGAACAAAAAGGCTGTTTCTGATACAGAAGCTGAAGTTCAAAATACATACATGTGGTCTGTTGACACCTGATTGAGACTGTGTACAAGCTGAGAGACCAGATTTTCATCCCTGCAAGCCAGAAGGCAGTTCACCTCCTCTGCTATCCGTCCATTGAAAAGCAGGCTTTTTGTTGTTGTAGCAGGTAAAGGTGATGGAAGAGGCAGCTGGTTCAAAACTGTTACCAGAAGATGGAAAGAGGTTCAGAATCATTTTACTGAACACAAACATACAAAAGATGATTAAGAAAACCTAACAACTACATTTGAATTGTAGGGAGGTTTTTGTATCACACACACCCTGTGAACCCAGTGTTTTCAATAATAATAATAATAATAATGCAGACAAGTCCTCAAACTATATTACTTAAATATTTAAATGTGCTAAGGCAAGTACTATGAATAAAAACACATTTTAACTATCCAGAGTATGTAGCTATTAAGTATGTTAAGACATTCTTCTCCTGTAACTCAAAAGTATTCAATGAAAGATTTATACACATATACATATGCAGCAGCATCTTTCCATTTTACATTTAAGAATATTAGAAAAAAAATGAAGGTACTTTTTTTTTTTTTGAATACATCTTGATTTTTTTTTTTTTTTTTATTTAGGCATTTAAATTTCTTTTTTTTTTCTTTCCCATACTTCCTAAGCAAGATGCATCTTTGTCTTCGCTTCCCTTATTGGAACGGTTGTTCTTAACCTCACTACAGTAATGATAATTCTCCTATAAGTTCCCACCCCAAGTTTATTTTTGGTCAGATTATAACTTTTTTTTTTTTGCACCAATATCATCCTTTAATATAAATAGTTCCTTTCTTTTCCTTATATTTTGTCTGGGTTGAAGAGCCCAGAAAAGCCTCATGAACTTCTTATTCCCACTCTACTAGCCCTTCTTTGCATGACCTTTTTTTTTTTTTTTTTTTTTTTTTTTTTTTTTTTGTATCTTGATTTATATCCAGAGCTAAGCAAAACAGGCTTCAAGCATCATCAGCCTATTCTATAACTCTTTTTGGCTGAATGTCTGTCTAATCTCTCTCTTTAGTGGAGATGAGATGTATGCTTTGAAGATTTTTTTTTTTTTTTAATCAGTTCTATGTTTTCTCATTTGTGGAATACTCAGATGTGTCAGATATGACATATAAAGAATGAATTCCTGCACTTTCAGGTTTACTTAACAACCCCCTTTCTCCCCCTAGATTTCATCTCAGGCTATGATTAGCATAGTTTGCTTGGAACACTTTAAAAATTCAAGCAATTACAGAATTTACATTTTTATCACCACATCTAATTTTGAGTGGATTTGCTTTAAGAAGCAACCTTTAAAATAAAAATATTTTTATTATTTGACAGCACAGATATTTATACAAAACGTAGAAAATAGCATAGCAAAGAGGAGGGGAGAAAAAGAAAGAGCACTTACGGTCTGTAAGACTAGCAATCCCTGCAAGAGTAGTGATGGGAACATGAGGCATATCCCCATTCATCCTGAAGTTCTGCGGTGGTAGTGCCTACACAGATAGTTTAGTTTAGGTGCCAGCTATCATTACTTCCCATCTCCCAAGCACTAGAAAAAAAACACACAGAAAAACAAAAAACAAAGTTATTATCAGCAAACTGAGGGTTAAGTTCAACATCAAAAATGAAATGCAGACCATAACTTTCACTACATACTAAGGTAATTTTGTCAGGAATGAGTAGAACAATCTAACACTTAAATATTTAAATATTCAAACAGCATTAAGTAGTCAATATATCAGTGTCTAGTATCACAAGCAGATCTCTTCCTCAAAAAAAGGATGCAAGATGATGGGTAGCAAAAATCCTGTTGGTTCATGCTCCAGCAAGGCAGCACTTTCTCCCACAAGCAGTGTAAGCCTTATTTATCTGCTATATATTCACTTTCCAATTTTGAAGAAAGCAGTATTTTTCATACAAAGAAGAGGTAGCAAATCTAAAAGGGCTAATAGGGAGACACACTACTCAAGGAAGAGACAAAGTGACAGAGTCTAGGTGTATTTTAAAAAAGGTGATTCTTCCAAAAACAACCTGAAAATCTCTCATTAACATTAAACACAACCTGGTCAAACAACTTCCAGGAACCACCACAAAAGAAAGAGGTTTAATCACCACTGGACTAGCTTATATATTTCCTGTAAAACAGCAAGACTTATACACAACTACTGAAAACTATTTGCCCACTCACTTTTCATTAAGTGTAGTAATTTCACCTGCAGTTCCCCAAACTATAAAAATCCACTACAGTTACTCTAATGATGGACAAAATCTGAGCTTGAAGGCATACAAAACATATTTCATATACTTCTACCTAATTTAGACAGATCGCTGTATTAATAGTTTGGGAAACAGTAAAGAGATTTTCCGTGAGCATTTATGTTGTCTACCAAAGACGCTGAAATCATGACTTGTTTACACTTACTTTACCAACCAGTATTTTTGTGAACAGAATACATATAAACCAAAAGATCACTATCGCTTCCTATGAATCATCTCCTTATGCAAAAAGAAATTATAGGAAATACATAGGAAATTTCTGCCAATAAGCTTACAGGCATTCAAGCTAGAAAAGGAAATTGAATGTTATAGGCCTTTTTCCCCCACACTCAATTTCAGAAGTTCATGAAAACTTTAACTTTTTGACATTTCCCTATCTGTGCACAGCTTACAATCTTTGACACCACCCCCTCCCCCACGGAGGTTAAATAGAACTGGCAGAGCTGACTTCCTTTGCTGCACCTGCCAGAGTTTCAGTCTTATCGCTATATTCTATTTGATTATTAAAAATATAGCACGCTACAGGTGCTGCAATTTAGTTAAGGAAAAGGCTGCAGATAGCGATACCATGTGGTTTTCTTTATCCAGGAGAAAGCAAACTTCAAACACCCCGAGCAGTCTCAAACACTGCTTGAGGAGCTATACCTGAAACAGTCACCAATATACACAGAATTTCAGTGGTTTCTCAAGTCCAAAAATAAGTAATCCTTAAAAAGAAAACAAAAAACAAACAAAAAAAAACACACACTAACTTCCCACAATGAGTCTGCACCAGCATCCCACAAGGACTAACACCCCTTTCAGAATTCTAGTAGTTAGAGAGTGCTTTTCACATAGAAATTGTGTGTGTGCACGCAAAGCTCTTATCTGATGATATCTCTTTTCATGATGTCTCTTCTCCTAACTGCAGCTCTACCAAAACTAACTCAAGTCGCAGCAGGAGTCAGTATTACTGGAAACCATGTAGGCAACACAAAAACAAAAGGGGGAAAAAAAAAAAGATCAATTTTACTCCCTGATAGCCTGGGGAAGCTACAGGCATCAGGAGCAGTCCCTATTAGTACAAATTCTTTTTTAGACTTACCACTGCAATACTGAAATTATATAGATATTTGGTGGGGAAAAAATCCTCAAAAAATGTTAATTAGAAACCATCTTCACAGATATATGATAGGAAAGCAGAACTGTCACAGTTTTATGCTTTTCACCTTCCAGAAAGAAGACGTGAGGCTGGAGCAGGTGCCGAGAGTGACAATGCTGAGGAAGTCGAGGAAGAGATTAGAAAGACCAGGCTTTGCTCAGCTAACAAAACCAAGGGCAAGAGGGAAACAGGTTCCTCTCCGTAAGGCAGTCAAAGAAGGTTAGAAAGGAAGAAAACTGAAAGACAGGGCAGACCCTACACTGAATGGGACACAAATACTTGCAAGTGGAAAATCTGAACCGAGTTTCTTAGAGCCATCTGGAGCGGCTTTCTGTGCTAAGCCCTAGCAGAGATAAGCAACGTCATTACTTTAAAGAAGGATCATGGAGATGTTATGGAAGGGACAGATGTGGTTACCTGCTCCAAAAGGAACCACGTGTGACGATTCATTAAGTCTCTTAGAGTACTGCGCTTTTCTAGGATGATGTGAGTGAATAGATGAGATTAGACAAAAGAGAGAGACTGATGGGATTAAGTGACAGGGTTAGTTTATGCAATAAACAAAATATAAAAGAATAAAAAATCCAAGCACATAGCAGTATTTCAATGCAAGTATTACATCTGTTCACTGCAGGACAGGCAGAGCAGTAGCTGGAAATAGCTTAACTGCTGGGTAACAAGCGCTTTTTCCCTCCTCCTGCTTTAACATTTGTTCACAAATTTGTTGCAAGTGGCAACTGCCTACAATTAACTCCAGAGAATAAACATTTCTCAATATTTAAAAAAATACATTATCACCTTTCTACAGGATCTATTACTGAGGTCTATCATTCCAACTTCCAGCTTTTAGAAAGCAAGCTGCTAATTAACAGGAGCTAAGGAAATTAAAGCGCCGCAAAGCTGCTGAGCAAGGCAGAGGCAGCAGGAACCCACAGTGGGCACATGGGATGTATGTCCTCCATGCTCAGCACTACCCTGCTGAGCACCCTGCGTTCCCACCACGAGCGATGGACGGGGTAGAAGGCATTTGAGGGAGGAGGAAGTCATGGAGCACAAGGAAGTGATACAAAGAATTGCACAGTGAAAGGAAAACAGTGAAAGGGAAGCATATGTTCACATACAGAAAGCTATGATCATACTACACAACAGAAAGGTGAAGTCAGGCCAAGATGTGAATGAAGGTAATGTTAAAAACATTAAAGTTTACACTATGCAAGGTACTGTGTAGTATCCCCGGCGAACTGCAGTGATAACACGCTGCCTTTTCCTACAGTTTTACTTCACAAGAACCATGTTCCAAAGAGTTCTCAAGTGCTGGAAGACCATTTTAAGAGAAAAATGCTGGACAAACTAAAAATAGAATAAGCTCTGCTATCAGAGTTCCTAAAATTGCATGCAACACCCACACTGTGTTGGATATTGTACTACCATACTAAAGGGACCACATTAAAGAACTTAATGTGCTGTAGTGACAGGAAGTCACTATAAGATAAGGTTATAGTAGACACACAAAATAATTCATGTATGCTAAAGGTAGTTGCAAAGAGGGAAGGAATAAACTGCTGCTTATATACACTGCAGATAGAAAAGGGTAGAAATGGGCTTCAATTTCTACAAGATAGATAACCCAGCTAAAATTACGTTCTCTACAGAAACACTTGTCAGTAGTGCAGCAAAGCCAATCCTCCTGCAAGGACTGGACAATTCGGAAATGCCTTTGAATCCTGTTCTCAGCTCGCTTCCAACTTCAGTATTTTGAATTGAATACTTTAAACTAAAAACTCTCCCATCACTAACCTCACTTTCCATTCCACTTAGGAACTACTGCTCCTAATATAGCTTATGTACAGCCTGTTACCCCACAACATATATGATAAAGTTTTCAAATAAATATATATAAAATTCTTAGAAAGCAACATGATGACCATAAAATGTCACAAATTCTACAAGATACAAAAGCAACTGCTTAACTGCTGATTCAGAAAGACCTTTAGAAGCCATCAATGTCAAATGTCAATGTGAAATTAAGTTGATCATATAAAATCATTTCTTCCTCTATTTCAAAAATTACTCAAACTTACACGAGTCATAAAACTTTGCTTTTAAATTGCTGTTGAGCTAAAGTGCAAAGAGCACCATTACAACGACGGCTAAGAGCAGGAACAATCTCTTCCAGGATATACTTTATATATCAGAATGGGTGCACATTTTCCCCTGTGAGAAGATGCTAACTTTTATGCTAAAGAGCATAAATGCAAAGTTTGGTGCTGCTCCGCCAAGCCAGGGAGCACATGAAGGTCAAAGTGGGTACGTGAGCATATGCCCGGCTTACATCCATTTCAGACACATCTCAGACGCTACCTGGTTTTGCTGTGAAATGCAGACATAATTTCCAATGTTCTCTGCAACAGTCAGTATAGGGTGTACCATGAACACTGTTCCTACAGTATATTTAATTATGGCAGTGCTACCATTTGCTTCACCTGCTTGACATAGCCCCCTTCCCTCCCCATACCATTAGCCAGCAAGTCACCTATGTCGACACCATAAACACAAACAGCAGGACCCCCCTTCTCTCTAGGAGACTGGCCTTCATTTGTGGTTTAGTCAAGGCACTTATATTAATCTACCCATCAGATCCATAAAGTACTGATAGAACTTACATTTTTGTTTTAAGCTGCAGTTTTAAATACACTATTTCTGTGTGTTATTGCCCCTCCTTTTATTTTTGTCAATTATGTATATTCTCCTATACTGCACATTAGCATAGCAAAGACAAAGTTCCTACCAGAGTAAATTTAAGAAGCTTAAAAAGGTGGAAATAGAAGTTAATATGCAATTGGCATAACAGTCTATAACATGAAAAATATGGTCTACTTTAAATGGTGACTACATCGCATGACAAGATTTGGATGGCATCATGTGCATCTTCTTTCACATCTCTATATATTGCACTTCCCAGCACATTGTATTAGGCTAATGGCAGAGCCTAATGAGCAACAGAAAAAAAAAACCCTTTAGAAAAAATGAAGAGACATGGATAAAATTAAGGGAGGAAAAGAATATGGAAATAAGTTGTGAACAATTTGGGTGCAGAATCAACAGTCACTCACTAAAACACTAAAAG